GTGCATTATCTACCCTGCCACACTTCGCTAATGCGTCTTATCGTTTAGGTTGCTAATACTGTTCAGTGTAAAGACAGTCTTTCTGAGGTAGACTGTTCAAGTTCAAGGACAAGTCTTTTTCTTACGAAATGCATGACATTCAAAAAAAGACAACAAATAAATACTACATGTACAATATGTAGCAATGAGGTAGAAATGGTTATAAAGAACAATGTTTGAATATACGTCAGATGAAAAAAGAAAAAAAAATAGAAATGAATATTCTCTAGCAACTGTATATAATCCACAAGGAAACACACCCACACTCACACAGGCAGACAGAGAGAGGGAGGGAGAAAAAAAGGTGGGGGAGAGGAATGAGAATGTTTTAAGCCTGAAAATAAACTTTAGCTCTTTTTGTATCATAGGACAACAAAAAGAATGAATGTGCTCCCAAGCTCAGTGTACTCCAGAACCATTTTATAAATATTTAACATTCTATAGGACTGATTCATATATTCTCACACAACTCTGTGCCAAGGCTGACCCATGCTGCCGACATTCTACATATCACTGAGACAGGGAGGTGAAATTTTCCTGCTTCCAGTCTAATTGTCTTTGACAATTGCAGTACCTAGTGCTACACTGCTTGTGTTGTATTTAAAAACAGGGGAAAGAGAAGAGACTTGTTCATTAAAGATGCAGTATCCCTGGTTCACACAAATGCATCTGGCAGGTTCAAAATCGAATGTCAACCAGAGGTCTTAGCAGACTGTGAGCTTCAGTTCATGTGTGAGTTAGTCACAAGTACAGCTGGTTTTGAATTCTGAAACACTAATAGCTCCATGTTTGCTAATGTGCTTCATATGAAAATCAGCAGGTGATTCAACAACCGAAGGCTTTACTTTTCAAAAGAAAAAACATCGAAATGCTTTGAATTGTAAAGTGGTCATGTATATCTCTGCATATATGAAGAGAGGAAGTAACCAGTTGTTTCCAAGTAATGTAAAATAGACAGTTTTAAAGTTCAAATAGTTGGTGGTGAAAACAGCACACATACATACAAACATACACGCTAATTTTATATATATACGTATATATATTAGAACTTTAGTGGCCTCAATAGTTCAACAAACTGTGTCCCTTTCACTTTGCAAAATTGTTTCAATGATCATGATACCCAATTGTTAAAAAAAAAACAAACAAACAAAAACCCATGAGAATGAGATTATAAAAGTAACTTTCTGCTTGGAGTTGGACACATTTTCAGAGAAATAAATTCTATATGAATCAAAAACATATATTCCAACCCACAAATATATTTAAATTTACAACAACCTATTGTGGGAATTAATTTGGACTTTTTTGGATGTATTCTTCTGAAAACTGCATAGCCAAGTAACTATGCAACTGATGTAAATTGACCTTGGTATTTTACATAGCATAGCCTCTGGATAGTTTTTATCACTGGCCCAGATGGTGTTTGGCCTATGTATTTGAGTGGAATGGTTTATTTTCTCCTTGATAGGTTTCAAATGCACAAGAAAACATTATACCCGTCTATCTGCATTTGAGTAGAATACAAACTGACTAATAGATAAACATTCTGTGTGAAAGTAAATAGCCTTAAAGTATACTGCCTTCACATTCCATTGATCAGCTCAGTCAGCAAAGTTTTCTATATTGTCACTAGTGTTCTAAATATTTTGGTGAGAAGCATGCCAGAAGTGTAGAGTATTTCCATTTGTGTCAAACATAAGGTCATTATGAACTACCTCTTGAATTTCTATTGATCCTTCTACTGAAGTAGTTTCCTTCACTTCCTTTTTGTCCCTGTTTGGAAATGTTACTGCAGTTGTGAAGAAAGAAATTAGGGGCTGTTAGGTAGACTGGCTCAAATCCCCTGGCCAGACGGCAAGAGATTTGGACTGGCTCATTACCTTACCTTCATTAGTAGCCTTCTCCAAATTCTTAGCAGTCCAAGAAGCCAAGACTATGAAGCCCCATTACTCAGTTGTACCATCACTGATTGTACACATTCAATTCTCAGGATGTGGTACCCCACCCCCACCCCAAGCTCAAGAAAGGATGGTCAGAATAGAGCTCATTATTAGGCTAGTCCATAGACGAGCTCAAAATGCTGCCACGAAGAATCAAAGACTCACAGGAGAGCACTACCTCCTCAAAGGTCAGCCTTATCTCCTTCAACAGATCTTCATTTCTTCAGCATGCCCAATTTCTTAAGAGATCAAATCCTAGTATTCATTAGGCTAAATGAAATTCACACACAACTTCAGCTTCTGCCTCAATACATGGATTTTTGACCACTCATAGCTCAAAAGTAATTTTTAAGTCATTTAAAGCTAAAAGCCAATATGCGTGACTTTATTTTCAGTTTTATAAATGAGTGTAAAACACAATAGTGCAGTCATATATTTGGCATTAACTCTTACTAGCCACAGAAATGTGGGTCAATACTGGATTTTCCAAAGTTGTCTAAATAAGATTGGGTTTGTCAAAACTTGCCAGTTGCTTTCAAGTGAACACAGCATGTTGGCAGAAATGAAATGTGACATCCAAAAGACTGAAAATAGGTCAGCACTGTGCAAAAGTAAACTTGTCAGTGAGATCAATATGAACCTACAATTTAATGGGGATATTAGAATTTCCTTACAATAAGGGACATGTGCAGGGTAGCGCCAGAACACAATTGTAGTGTTTATTCACTTGTGAAAAGCAGAGGAAGTACTTAAATATTACTTTTTGTATCCTTAATGAAAGGCACTACTTTTTAATATGGAATATTTATATGTAAGAACAGGTTTAATTGATAGAAAATCATGGTAAATTTAATTCTAGTTCATCTGCTCAGTTTTTAGCAAGAAAAATAAGAAAAAAGGGGAGTAATGATCAAGCATCATAAAATCTCAGAAATATCATGATGTCCTTCATTAGCTTTCTCTATGTTAAGCATTTCAGAGAATTTGACATTGTGGATGAAATCAGTAAAAAAAAAAAAAATATGGAAGGAAAACAAAACAATAACAGAAAGACCTTTCTTAGGGCTTCTCATTGCATTTATTTAAAGTCTGTAAAAATGTACATCACTTTTTGAATACATAAAATGCCAGTGCTTTGCAACAGTTTTGTTACTGCATCTCTCAACTAAAAAAAATAAAATAAAATTAAAAATAAAAACAGGAAAAATACATTCAAAAAGCCAGGCTGTACTGCTTCTGCACGGGCAGTGGCTTTGGGAGGCTACGGCCTGCTCTGCGTCAGCTCAGAGGCATTGCCGAACATCAGTTAGCTAGCAATGGAAAGTTGCACATAAAGCATTAAAGGATACATAGAACAACTTGGGGAGCAGCAAAGGAGAGGGAAACTAAAGAAAAATGCTACACACACTGTTGCAGTGGGGGTGGGCCCAGGTGGAAGTGAGTGGTGAAGATTGATCTTTTGGAAACTAGATTTATAGGAAAAGATGAAAGAAAACAAAGTAACACATTTGGCAAGCTGTATCTGTTGGTGTGTGTTTGCATGTGGATGTGTGCATGTGTGTGTGTGTCTACTTCCAATTGTCTACTTGACTTTCCAGGAGAAATGTAACAAAACTGAGGTAGAAATGAATGTGGGAGCACTACAGCCCAGAAGATTTCAAAATGAGAAGCAAAATTGCACTGACAAGAGAGGAGTCCAAAAGAAGGAGAGGGGATGCAGACGTATTCTCTGTGGACATATATAAGTTGGTTGGTTGTTTTCTGTATTTATTTGTTTGTTTGCTTGTTGGTTTTGGCCGCTATCTTCTGCATTCTGTCAAACAGCACGGCAAGCCTATAAGCTAGATTAGTGAAGAGAATGACACCATTTCCAGCAGTTTTCAGAGAGAACTGGCAAATCACCACCACCACCATTACCGCCTCTGCAGGAAAAAGACAGTCCTAGTTTTTAGGTACTGTGACTTTCAGGGTCCTAAACAGGTCTTGTGGCTGACTGTTCCAGACACTAACACAAACTGAGTAAATAGCTTTCCACTAACCAGTGTACCTTTTAAGAATATTTTCACTTCGTTATCAAGGAGCAATGTACGAAGAACTCTTGCAGGTATTGATATAAAGAATTATTCTGCTCTGGTTAATTCCCCATAATTAGTGAAAGAACCTTTTTAAAAAATCCTTCCATTTTTACTTTAAATTGTAAATATTCAGCTGTATCACGTGTCAGTATTTTTCCGGATACATTCAAAGTAATTTTCCTTGCTATTTTCCAATTGTTGAGGTAAACATACATTTTAATATAAAGTAACATTGAAGCCTATCCCATTACTCTCAGCAGTACATAGTGCTTTCAACACATTCCTTTGAGGTACTGTACAAAACACAATCACTTTCCTGAGTTTTTGCAGACAAGAACATTAAAAGAAATGAACTGCAGAAATTAAGGTCCAGATTACCGTTACCCTGTTTTACCTGTTCTTAGCTTAATACTGCAGAACAGACAGGATTGAGGAATACTGTTGCTCTTAAAATGGCAAAAATCTGGTTTTCTGTCGAAACACAACCGTTCATCTCTTTAGTCCAATAATGTTTGAAGTTAAAGCTCTTTATATTAGCACATGCCACCAATGTAATTGTGAGGCAAACAAAAAATAAAGCACCACTCCAGGCACTTGACAGCAACTAAATCTCGAGAACAGCAGAATGGAATCAACACACGAGGTTCACGTCCTTCTGAAATCAACACACTTGCACCTTGCTCCTTGGTGAGTGTTGTCTAGCTTGAACTGAACTGAGCATCGGCGGATGCTTTCTGTCATCTGGGGCTTTCACATCCGAAGGTCTCACTGGATGCCTTCTTCCTCCAAATCTACCCTGACTCGAAAGATGCAACTTAATCGTCTTCTTCCCCAGTACCCTTTGCGATTTAAACACTACTGAAAAGGGGATCTATACCCTATGTAGCAGGTTTGATGTGTGTGTGCGCGCCAACATTCATCACATTTTTTTTTTTAAAAGAAGTTATCACTGACTACAACCAAACATTTTGTTCCATTCAACATACATATCAAGCTCTTTTTGAGATATGCTAGGCTGAATCTTGCAGAAAGCATTTTCAAAGTCTTGATACGTAACCGGCCTCAACTGGCTGGGCATAATGGCTGAGAGGTCTGTGGCTGGCATGGCATGGAGGGGACCCACCACCGCTTCCTGACACAGATGAGCCACGTCTAGCCCAGAAAAGCCTTCTGTGCGCTGGACGAGCAGTGCAAACTCCTTGTCGTTGAGACAGTAATTGTGCTGTGAGAGCAGTTGTACTATTATCTGGTGTCTTGCTGTGCTGTCAGGAAGTGGGATTAAAAGTCGTTTCATGAAGTACCTCCGAAGAGATTCGTCTATCTCTTCTGGTTTACTGGTGGCACAGATCACTATGATTTGGTCCTCAGCCGACGTCAGCACGGTGTCCAGCTGCATCAGAAATTCGGTTCTCATCCGACTGACTGGACTGTGTTCCTCACTCACTTGAGAGGAGAGAAGCATGTCAATGTCACTGACGAAAATCACTGAGGGCTGGCGACATCTGGCCACGAGGAAAGAGGCGTGGATGATCTTCTCTGCTTCTCCTAACCACTTGGCGAGAAGTCCAGAGCCAGCGATCTTGAAAAACGTGGCCCCCAGCTGACTAGCTATGCACCTGCCCAATAACGTTTTGCCTGTTCCCCGAGGTCCAAATAAAAGGATGCTCCGAGGTAAGGCCGTCAGTCCACTGAACGCATCTGACCTCAACACAGGCCACAAAACCTCCTCTTTAATGACAGCCTTTACCAGGTCGAGACCTGCGATGTCGTTCCAGTCCACTGGTGGTCCTTGGGTGATAATCTCGTTGGTTACCAGGTCGATGAGGTGTGTGTCTGCATTCTTCAGTTGCTCGTCCACGGAGTGGTTGGCTGAGGTAGCTGCGCGGAGTCCGGGGCCCTGCATGGGGTGAGAGAGCATCTGTCTGTGCTCCTCCCCATGTTCGCTCATCACGGGCGACGTGTACTTCCCGAAGGATTCACTGGATCTCGATCCCAATGAATTTTTAGCAGTACTGTAGGAAGGAGGGGTCAGAGCCCTACTGGACTGGCTGCTGAATTTCCTCTGCTGTTCAGAGGACATTAGCTGCTTCGTTGGCTTAAATGCTAAGGATGATGTTTCAGCACTTCTGTCAAAGCCATTCCCCCGGTTTGAGTTTGAAATGCTGCTGTCGGACATTCTGTACATAGGACTCTGTGTGGACCTCTGTTGGCCGTAGCTGTAATTTCCATAACTGGAGTCCATGTCTCCTTGCCCTGCCATGTAGAAAGCTTTCCTTTTGAGAGAACTCGCCGAACTGTTTGTCAGAGCCGAGGGTGCGATCGGTGTCAGACCGTGACCCTGGTAGGTGTAGCCAGGAACAGTGGTGGGGGGCAGGGGTGTGGGAGCAGGGATTCCTGAAGGCAGATATGCTGACGGAGGAGGGGGCGCCCCCCCAGGACTATACCCCGACCCCACAGCAGTCTGCGGAGGATAGCTAGCAGAGGGGTAGCTGTAACTGGCAAGGTTAGAAGTCCCGTTGTAGCCTGGGACCAGCGCTGGCGGCGGGGGAGGTGGCGGCGGCGGCTGTAGGAGCCCGGAGCTGTGCAGAGGAGACGGATGCGGTGAAGGAAGTGCAGGTGCGGGCTGGCCACTGTAAGTGGAATGCAGATACGAGCCGTTGTATCCTGGGGCATATTCCTGAGACGGGAGCCCTGTGTGAAGACTCGGTACAGTGTGGCTTCCACAGGTACTGCTCGAATAACTAGGTTCTGTCAGGTTGCTGGCCACCCCAGGAGAGCTCCCTATGCTCGCAGAGACATCTGCCGGAGGGAGGGCTGAACTGACCCCAGCTTTGCTGGCAGTGATGACATCCGGAACACAGTTCATGGGATAAACAGTGTCTGAATTCAAGGAAGGCTGCCAGGGTTCACTTTCATTCTTCCGACCATTCACTAGTCCTGATGGTGCATCCGAGTAGTTGCTGAGTACGGGTCGGTCCACAGGGCCTTCCAAAATGCCAGAATACTTCTCTGCATATTTTTTTAGTAGGTTGGATGCCGTCAGAGCAGATATGTCATCGTTTGCCCAGGCGTACTGGTAGGTGCGCTGCAAATGACCTCTGTAAGCTTCAACTTTGTGGGCGGGAGACCGAGTGGTGGAAGTGATGTCAAAGTGCTGCTCGGGCCACTGGGCGTGCTCCGGCGTCCACTGCATCTTCAAGCCTAAAGATTTGGGGGAAGAAGGTTCATTTATTTAGATACTCATCAGAACTGTTAAAACTTTTCCACCCAACTTCTTTTGTTACCCATTATTTTCTACCAACGATAGTCACATTATAAAGGATCTCCACAGTTTATAACACCTATTATGGTCTCTACCATGCATACATCTGAAAAGGGACTGAATTTCAGCCCTGGATAAAAAGTAAACTGAATTTAAATGAAAACTCTGTAGAAGACCTACATTTTTTTTCATTCTTGAGTAATAAGCAAATTTATTTCTGCTAAGCCCATAGAGTTACTTGCTACACACACACAGAAACACATATATATGTACACACACATCCTTGTCAAATTAGAATTCAATCACAGGTTCTCACAATATAATATGCATACATTTTAAACATCTAGCACGTGATAGTATTAACATGTGCCATATCTAGCTATGCTGCCTCTTCACACCACACTTTCTGTTTTATATTTTAACCAATATAAAAATGAGACACAGCTGACAGATCACATCTAGGATACCTCTCTTATTTGGTACTGAACACCTAGTTAGCACAGTATAATGCTCCCTGTGCAGAACAATATGACACAGACATAGCAGGTCATTCCATAATCCAACTCTCATCTAAAGTGGTCCACGACAGTTTCAAATCTGCTTCGTGGAGTGCAGCAAAGCAATCTCCCGGGCAGCGCTCCATCGCTTTCATCACACAAAGCCTACAACTCAGTATGAATTACAACTGGCTCCTTTCTGCCTCTCAGTTCTGTTGTTGAAACTCTGAAAAAAAAAACACAAAAAACAAGCATCACTTGTCTGTCGGTCTTCTAGCTAGTGTTCTTCCTTCTGTTATCTTTCTCTCTGCCTTACAGTTTCCAAGGTACTAAGAGGGGAGAATATATATATATATATGTATATATGTGTACATACATATATATTCATATATATTCATGAAGAGAGTAAGGGGGAGATAGGAAAGAAGCAGGTAAAAAGGAAGATAAGAACAGAGAGAATCTGGATCCTGACTCTTTACATCTATGTGTAGTGGCACATACTCAAACAGTACAACTAGAAAATGAGATGTTACATGGATGTAACTCTATCATCTGCTACCAAGGGAAGCAAGGTGACTATGTAGCCAACTATACAGGACTATTTTCTCATTTAAGAGCAAATACAAAGCAAGGACCTCCCTGGTTGTCCCAGTGGTTAAGAATCCACCTTGCAATGCAGGGAATGCAGGTTGGATCCCTAGTTGGGGAACTAAGATCCCATACTCTGTGGGGCGACTAAGCCTGAGCACCACGACTGAGCCTGAGCCTGCACGCCACAACTAGAGAATCTGCGCACGGCAATGAAAGATCCTGAGTGCAGCAAGTAAGATCCACCACAGCCAAAAAAATAAATATATTTAAAAAGAGAGAGAAAATATCAAGCAGAGTTAGAGAATCATTTCAATTTTACAGCTTACAGAGAGACCTTAGACATTACCTTACTTCACACATTGGGGAACCAGTACCCAAAGGGATTTATACTGTACCCTTGAGGACTCTCATAAACTTAGTTACAGGAGAGCACTGAACCCTGTTCTATTTCCCAGTGCCGACTCCTCCTAATCTCTTCTTGATTGGAACACTTCCTATTCTGATACAGCTATATTAAGCAGGCTTCCTTAATCTCCTTTGTATTACCCTAAGTGAATTTTGCAAACTCTCTTGTGCCCTCTGGCAGCGATTCCTTGATAAGAAGGAGGTCTGGTCTAAATGAAGCATCTGTGGCATCAGCTCCCTTCTGAATTACCGCAGTCTATGTTGACAGCTCCTACCCCCTTATGCTTTCCTCCTCCAACCCCTTTAGCTCTTCATTACCTGACTCTGGCTTCTGACATGGCCAGCTTTGACTTACTGAGCTAAACTGAATATAGCACAGAGTTTGGTAACAGACTGGCATGTTGATTCCCTTCTGACTCCCTCTTCCTTGTTTGCAAAACCACTGCACCAGACACTGGAAGTTAATTAGCAGGATGATGCTGTGCTAATTGTGTTAATTTACAAGGTTTTAGTCAAAGAGAATCATGCCAGGGCTGGCACTGCTGTCATGCTTCCGACTTAATGATTAAGAAATACTGAAAACAAGGTGGGAAGGATTGCAGTAATTACACAATAAATGAATAAAGCAACAGGATTCATTTGCAAATATATTTTACTGCAATTGTACTCATTTGCATTTGGATTTTAAAAAAGGATCCATGTAGATATTCATTTGCAAATCACCATCTCAGTTAAAATTAAATCTGAATGCTGCACTGTATAACTTAATCAAGCTTCATATGTATGACTATATAATGAATTTTTTAGTAAAAAAAATCTAAATACCTTACTTCTCTTGTATACACGATAGATTCTTTACTTTTCTGCATCTCCCCCCAAATCATCATGTCTCTCTTTTAAAACTGTATTTTAAAATATAATCTCATCAATTGGAAAGAATATATTATAAAGTCCTGATAAAGTGTAGCTTGCATCATTTCACTTAAGAGGAACTCCAGATTGTGTTGGGGGGGTGGCGTGCAGGGGAGTCTTCTAGGAAGAACTAAAGTGATATTCTTAATTGTTTCTGCTTTCTCAATCATTACTTTTTAAGGGGGAGGAAAACACACCGCAAAATGGGTGAAATGACCAAGACCACACTTAAAGGGGAAAAGATGCAATTTTAATGAAGCAGCATTTCAGGAATCATACTTTCATTAAATTCAACTGGAAATTATTAAGAGCAAATCACCAGGAACCAATCGCAAGTAATCAGTATCTAAATTCTTCTAGTGTCATGGGATTTACTTTCAAGCCTTATAAAAACGAGAGAATATTAATGTGACTGTAATGTAGAACTGTCTAAAAGACCTACAAATTCATTAGTCCTGTAAATTATTTCCAGGGAATTTCTATTAGGATTTTTTTTTCTTTAAAAGATTATCAAAATACAGAGTTGAGAAAAGAAAACACATATGCTATGAGTAGGAATTTGATTAGATTGATACAGAAGAAACATGAATAAGTATCTTGAAAAAAAGGTCTCAAAAATAATTTAGGAGTCACAGGCAATGGAATTTTTTTCACAAACACAACACATACACACACATGTACACACACACACCCATGAAAGGTCTGGTTTCCTTTCACTTAGCTGAGCTAAGTCATTATTGGCATTATTCAACAAACATACATAACAAACATGATTTTTTCTATTAAAAAAAGTGTCTGATTTTTTAAAAATGAGACCGCTTTAGCTTTAGAATAATTATTTTAAAAAATAACCAAAAAGGGCAACTTTCACCTCCATTGGGCTTAAAATTTTCCTTGTAAATTAATCATTTGTAAAATATATGCACAAGTTTTTTAGTAAGTTATAGTCACTGTGAAAGACAGGAATATAAAATTTAAATAAAACAGGTTGGCCATTTGCACTGGGTAGTAAAATGCATAGTTTAACTGCATAGTTTCACTCTAGCAAAAAAAATTTCTTAAGATTTCTATTTCATCTGAAATTAAGCAAAAATCCTATCAAAATTATTTATTGGATACACCATTGCCTTTTGATGCTCATGCTATTTTTGGATGTGCTTACCAAGATATTTGAAAGTTTATTTATTGATTCATACTAAATAACAACCTAATAAGCAAGGCTGCAAAAGTTAAGATTGAGCTTCTGTTAAATAACCTCAAGAGAACAGAATTATTCACATCCCCTGAATCACGAGTATTTATCGTACTTTAAAATCATTAATAGCATTGGAAAGTATAAATTAATAGCTAAACCATAAACTAGTTCTTAATATTAGTAGGAGCTCAAGAAGCCAGTGCTCAGGAAACTGTCCTGACCTATAAGAGCACAAAGAACTTCTTCCTCAGTTTCTTGAATTTTAATACTAATTAGAAATAGAACTAATGAAACAGCTTTTCATTGTCATTATTATTGTTCTATTTATTTGTGGTGATAGTTCTGATGTGCAATGGAAGAAAAATGAAGAGCCAAATGTTCTTTAAACAAACTATCACGCTCCCTTTGATTACACTGCTGTTATCTGTAAGAAGTAGCACATGCGTGTCATTTAACTTGGCACCCAAATAATAAGAAGGGTTTTAAAAAAAGCTTGTATATGGTTTCTCTTTGGAACATGAAGAGAAAAACCTCAGAAACAATACTATTTTAATGTTATTAGAAACAGGACTCCAGCACAACAACTCCCACTGCAGTCTACAAATAGCTTAATAGGAACAATAAAAATTCAGAAAACAGTGGAAAGTAAGAAAAACAGTTCAAGATAATTGAAGGATTGTTCCAGAACATCAATTTTTATTTTTGAAAGTATCATAAAATTCTTAAGAAAACAGCTGGCAAATTTCACAATGCAATGTGTTTGTTTTTAAAATATGTAATTTAATAGAAAATTGCTTTTAAGATACCTTAACATAAGTGTTCACAAGGATGACAGATACTATAGTAAAAAGCCTAAGCATTTTGTTATTTTATTGTAATAGGATGAATTTATGTATATATAATTGATCAAGTCTATAGTTCCCATAAAACTGGTCAATTTGGATAACATTTTCCATTCTTATCATTACTGACCATTTTATAACTTAGATTTAATTACTAAACAGTTGCTGCCTCATTGCTTTATTTCTTCTATTTGACACTTTAATTAGTTTGAAGCAAAACAACTGTGGCATCCTTAAAAGTTTTGTCACAGCTTCAAAATGATAAAGAAACTGTTACACAGAAAAATGAAGGGCATAAAAATAACTTGCAGAATAGGAGGAAATTGGGATTAAAAAAACCAGGTCTTCTAGAAAGTATTTTTAGCACACATTCCTGGAAATATTAATCTAAGACTGCCCCACCCACACTCTAACATATGCTATTCAAAGTTCACGAGGTCTATAAAAGCTGCTCTCTTCTACAAGGTTCCCATAGGGTAATTCTGGCCG